GTGTGTGTGATTCGTACATTTTTTGTGTTTTAAATGCATCAAGTGTTGGTAAACGTAAAAATAACCACAAAGAGCGTCGTAAAGCGTAAACAAATGACAGTGTGTTATCGGCGTACATTGATGGGGAAAAATTTGTGCGAAAATTTTCGCTAATAAACTTAAAGGGGAGCTGACTACAAAAATAGAAATATTAAATGTTTCTTATGAAAAATATCTACACAATATTTATTTGAATATTTTAAATGGTTGTATGCATATTTTTAAATCAGAAACAACAAATAAAATGGAATTGTAAATCCTATTGATAACGATGTTGCCGAGTTTGATGCAATTTGGTGTCGAAATAAAGACATTTTGTGTGAGGATCTGTCTCACCAGAAAAAATATTTAGCCTTATTCTGGATGTCAATTCCACGTGAATTTATCGCTCATCCCCTTCAACTTATTCTGAGCAACATTTCACAGAGATTTTTTTAGCATTTCCGTTTTCGCCATTTTCTGAATCAAGTTCGAAAGCGACAAAATACGCTTTGGGGGAAAATTAGTTATTCTGGATTTCCGGGGGTGGGAGAATGTGATGACATTTTGTGCGAAATTTTTCGCTAGTAAATTTAAAGTCAGCTTATTCTATGACGATTTTGAATATTATAAATGGCATATTTTTTTCTCAGAAACAACAAATAAAATGCCATGATAACGATGCATGCTTAACTAAATAATGCCACGGAATTTATAAATTAAATAAGGATTTTAAGCCATGTTTTTTAGTGGAGAAATTTGGTCAATTCGGTTCAGCGAATTCGGTTTAAAAACGCGCTAAAAACCCCCAAAAATACCGTAAATAAGGGATACCGTTATAAGGTGGCTACCAGAAAAAGTGGACCTATATTTATAATTTGTAGTGGAGACAAAAATAACCCAATGTACCAAATTTCAGCGAATTCGGTTTTAAACGCGCTTAAGGACCCTCCAAAATACCGTAAATTGGGTGTGCCCATACGAGGGGTCTACGATCCGAACGACCCGAGTCTTACTCGGTCAACGTCTGTCACCTGAGCCCATTGTATAAAAGCAATAGGGCTGCTACAACAACAACTTAAATTACAAAATGACAACACGAATCTTTTTTCAACCACAAATTTCGAAAATTCGAATACGCATCTCGCATTTTTGTTTCTCCCTATTCATTCAGAATAAGGCGAGAATGTGAAAGGGATAATTTTTCACATGCGAGATCTCTCCCTTGCGTATATCCAGAAAAAGGATGTATAAATTTTAGAGGCGGGGAACTTTAAATTATTTATAAATGATTTTGATATTTTTCATTGTAATTTTGAAAGCTGAATGCTGTCAAAGGCAAATTTATGAAAAAAAAAAATGGAAAGTTATGACTGCATGAGACTACCTTGTATTATTTGCCATGATTTTAACCTCATTTTTTTATTTTCTGAATAAGACCCTTAACTGCAAATTCGTTTTCGCAACTCCATTTTTAAATTTCACAGGTATTCATAATGGAACTAAGGTTTACTGGTGGAATGACTGCTGAACTGTTCTGCAAGTCGCGCATCATTTAGCATTAAATTTTTTTAATATTATTTGAAGGTTGTGGAAAAATTCTTTTGGAACAAATTTATTTTTAAAATATCCAATAAAATATATTTATAGGAATTCGTTTTAGAATATCCAAGCCGTAAGGGGAATTATTTGTAATTTTATATGAATTGGTCATAGAATTTATAATTTGGTTCAATTAAAAAGAAAATAATGAAAAAAATAAATTAAATAAAAAATGAAACATACTTGTCCTAACGTCAATGTTCTCTTACGCTCTCATTTAGTTATACGTGTTAATACGCTTTACAACACTACATTTTTAAAATGGAAGAGTAAACATTGCACCATCAATCTACTCTCCTTTGCTCTCACACACCAACGTACGCGATATTTGTCAAACAAAAGCAACAACAACAAAAAATACACACACAAACACAGGAAAATTGAATGAACGGTCTATTGTTCTTCTAGAAAATCATCAACGTCTTGTGTATGCAAAAGCAGCAATAACAACAGCAACTAGTGAGTGAATCACAATAAATATGCAGCAAACAGCAGTACTTTTTATAATTTGACTGATTGATTTATAGTACAAAACAGTTATTAACTATATTTTTATGCATATTACACTGGAGTAGAATCGACGACAGTGGATAGAAAAGAAAGTCGAAGACAAGATAAAACCAAAAAACACAAATAAACAACAAACAAAAAATATATCGGAGAGTATCGAAATATTCAAGACACCAACGGACAGAAAAGCAACACAAAACTAAAAAATTATATACGAAAAAGAGGAACACAGACCAAGAAGAAATATATTGAGGGAGGCAAGAAAGCAAGGTAGCAAATGTCAGGTTGCGAATAGCAGCACACAGCTGTCAAAATAAAAACACAGTGGAGGAAAAAAGAAAGCAACAGTTTGCAAAAATATTTAAAAAGAAAAAAAGTAAAAAAAAATATATATAATAGACGTGGATTTTTAAAGAATATTTTTTCAAGGGGACCAACACAAGCCGTAGGTTTTTGAAGAATATTTTTTTTTTTAAAAAAAAAAAAACACAAGGCGTGGATTTTTTAAAGACTATTTTTTCAAAGGGACCAACACAAGCCGTGGATTTTTTAAAGAATATTTTTCCAGGGGACCAACAAGGGCGTGGATTTTTTTAAAGAATATTGTTTTTCAAGGGGACCGACACAAGGCGTGGATTTTTTTAAAGAATATTTTTTCAAAGGGACCGACACAAGGAGTGGATTTTTTTAAAGAATATTTTTTTTAAAAGGACCAACACAAGGCGTGGATTTTTTAAAGAATATTTTTTTAAAAGAACCGACACAAGGCGTGGATTTTTTAAAGAATATTTGTTCAAGGAGACCAATACAGGCAAAGAGTTTTAAAGAATTTTTTTAAGGACCAATGAATTTTAAGGGAATATTTTCCTTCTAAATCCAATACAGGCGTTAATTTATTATATAATATTTCTTCACGGACAAATAAAGGTATGGATGTTTAAAGAATAAAGAATATTTTTCCTGGAACAATACAGGCATGGATTTATTAACGATTATTTTTTTTCAAGGACCCATAAAGGCATGGATTTTTATAACCCTCATCCTTATGCCTAATGTGCCTCATCGAAATATTGGTTTTAGACCCCATGTTTCTTTGAACCAAATCCGTTTCAGAAAATTTGGAGTCGATGTGCACATGTTCGTCGATAACTCTAACTCTCGAAGGGAATCATCCAAATTTTGCACATCCTTTTATATTTGCTCCTAACCTAGTTTAAGTTGGAAGATGGGGATTATCGGTCCACTCCTTCTGGTACCTCACCCACAAAATGGTCAAAATTGTGCTAAATATTAATTATATAACATGCAAACGGACTATCCGATTTTAACCAAACTTTGCACAACATATTACCATTATCAAACCTATATCAAGTTCGAAGATGGGACCCATTGGTCCACTCCTTCTGGTACCTCCCCCACAAGTGATCGAAATTTTCCATATTTATAAATCCAATATCAGGCGATTGGAATATCAGGCGATTGGAATGTCCGATTTGAACCAAACTTTGCCCAACCTATTATCTTTACCAAGCCTAGATCAAGTTCGAAAATCCATTAATCCACTCCTTCTGGTGCCTCCCACACAAATGGTCTAAATTTTTCATATTTATGAATCCAATATCAGGCGAATGCAATGTTCACTTTCAACCAAACCAAACAATTATCATAACCAAGAATAGATCAAGTATAAGGATGGGGCCCATTGGTCCACTCCTTCTGGTACCACCCCCACAAAGGGTAAAAATGTTAAATATTTATAAATCCAATATTAGGCGAATGGAATGCCCGATTTGAACCACAGCCTATTATCTTATCAGTCTGCCCTCTCCTCTGGTACATCCTACAAAAAGGGTCAATATTATTTGATCAACATAAAATCCGAAACATCTTTAATTAAACATATACCATATATAAAACGAATAATAAAATCTGTGTATAACTCCGAATACATCCTTGGCATACCATAAGGTGAGGGTATACATCTGTTGGCAATACTGACTGACACTTTTTTTACTTCTTTTTTTTCAAATGAACACAGACCCTTCTTAAAGTCCTTGGTAATGACAAGTTTGAGGTCGACAGAGGAACAGCGAACTGCTACTAAGAATAAATCGGTAGCAGCTAAGCTGAATTATAAGAAGCCTACCAGGCGGAAGAAGAAAGTCAAACCAAGTTGTAAGTCTTCGAAATAACCTCTGGGTCAAACGAAAATGCTTTTCACCCTACAATTATACAAACTTATGTTTCAGCATTCTCGTTTGGAAAATACATCTCAAATTTTCAAAAACCGAAAATGGGACGGGAATATTTCCAGCTATGTATATATAAGGAAATATATCTACATTTTCTGAAGTTCCTATTTGCCCTTCATCATTATATGTATATAGGCATAGAATTATATTCCGATCAATATTTCATATACTTTATGCAGTCTCTTCCGTTGAATATTTCGATGTGGTGCAAACAAAATAACAAATTTGATATACACATAGACAAGGAATCTGTTATTTGTACGTTTCAAAATTGGTAATTTTTGTTAATCGCATAATATTTTCTATAAAGATAGTAATGGTATATTCTCATCTAATCACCAAAAATTCCCTGACGGATATTCAAAATATCTTACAAACACATGTCCACATAAATAAACCACGATTCACAACAGGATCATATTTTGTTAGTATTTGACATGCACATGTTAGTAATGTTCAAGGACTAGGTATTAGGAAAACAGGGATAAAAACTACAAAAAATGATGATAAGCACACACACATTTACAACACGCACACACTCCCACATATATGGACATGGATATTGAAACAAATAAAGTATGCTGTGTTAAATGTGAACGTGGTGCTTACAATTTCTACCTGTTTTCGTTTTTCCTCGAGCGCTTTATGTTTCGCCTCATCGTAATGTTTACGTTCGGCTAAACGTTTTTCGGTGTGCAATTTAAATGGGCACTGCTGGATGACCAATGGTTTCTTTTCCGGGACAAAAGGTTTCTCTTTGAGGACAGTTGGTGGTCGTGATTCAAATTTGGGAGGTTGATTTTTTTGTTTCCATTCTTCCAGCTGTAAAGGAGGAAACGAAATGAAAACAGATTTTATTTTGGAATGTGTGTGATCTTACCCTTTGTCTTCGTTTCTCTTCGGCCTCTTTGGATTTTTTCAGAACTTTTGGAGTCACCGCCACTGTAAAGGCATGTGCTGGTTTCCGCTTTTCCATTAGTTGATGATGGGCATTGAAATTTGGCACGGGTCTTGAATGGAATTCACGTCGTTTGCGTTCCTCTTCCTCTCGTCGGCGTTCAGCTTCTTCACGTTTCTTCTGGTAGAGATCTTTCACCAAATACGCCTGCGGTGGGGGTGGCATATTTTTGGAAACTGCACCCTTGGAAGAGCCAGCTGTTGTATGGCATTTTTTGGTGGCTGGTTTTTGTGTCGACCACTGGCATACCAAATTCAATTTGGGTGCCAAATGTGTTTGTTGCACAGTCTTATCTAAATGAGACTCCGGCTGTTCATTGTCAGTATAGTCGTGGTTGTGGTTTTGAGTTGCTTCATCTTCCGGCGATGTTACCAAATCCTCTCTCTCCGTCTCTTCATTATGGCTGGAGTTCAGGGAGCAGTTGATGTTTTCTTTGTCCTCCAGCTGTTCCTCCTCACCTGTGATGGTATTGTCATGTTTTTCAATTTTGTAAATGACACACTGTTCCTCAATGTCTGTCAATTCTGTTTTGGCTGTGGGGAAAGGCGAATTTCCATAAAAAATGTATTCTAAACTTATTCTTTACTCAAAATTTTCTTACCCATTTCTTCCTGCAATAGTGCCATGTCCTCCAGTCTCTCGTGTTCATAATGTTTATAAGCTAGAAACAAGGGGAATATTGAAAAATTAACGGTTGTTTTGGCGCAAATTAATTTTCCTTTTTTTTTGTTACATACCAAAAAAGTTTTCCGAATGATCCAATTCCTCGTTTCCTACCTCAATGGCGTCCCAATCATATTTCACTTTCACCTCAGGCATTTTTACATTGAAATAGGCCATAATTATTGATTGTGATATTTTTTGTTTATATAAAAAAATAATTCCAATGATTTATTATACTTGCAATGACAAAGTAAAACAAATACAAACAAACAACGACAAGATGCCGCGAACACGAAATATCAGTTTAAAATGCGATGGCGATTTACAAATTTCTAAACACACATACAAATAAAGGTATTGATGAAGATGGTAATCGATAGTGGGGTACTTGGTTGAGTAGTTGGTGTTGATTATCGATAATACTGGATGCAATTAGTGGTTAACGTAACGTAGTGTCGTCGTTTGATACTTTAAACTCATCACAAGCATTGGATTTTCGGATTGGAAAGGGGTGGATTTTTTTAAATAAGGCGTGGATTTTTTAAAGAATATTTTTCAGGGAATATCCTAAGGCGTGGATTTTTTTAAAGAATATTTTTCAACGACTATCCTAAGGCGTGGATTTTTTAAAGAATATTTTTCAACGACTATCACAGCTGTAGGCGTGGATTTCTTAAAGAATATTTTTCAACGACTATCACAGCTGTAGGCGTGGATTTCTTAAAGAATATTTTTCAACGACTATCACAGCTGTAGGCGTGGATTTCTTAAAGAATATTTTTCAACGACTATCCTAAGGCGTGGATTTTTAAAAGAATATTTTTCAACGACTATCATAAGGCCTGGATTTTTAAAAGAATATTTTTTCAACGATTATCCTTAGGCGTGGACCTTTTAAAGAATATTTTCAACGACTATCCTAAGGCGTGGACTTTTTAAAGAATATTTTCAACGACTATCCTAAGGCGTGAATTTTTAAAAGAATATTTTTCAACGACTATCCTAAGGCGTGGATTTTTAAAAAAATATTTTTCAACGACTGTCCTAAGGTGTGAATTTTTAAAAGAATATTTTTCAACGACTATCCTAATGCGTGAATTTTTAAAAAAATATTTTTCAACGACTATCTTAAGGCGTGAATTTTTAAAAGAATATTTTTCAACGACTATCCTAAGGCGTGATTAAAAAAAAAAATTTTTAAAGATAAATAAAAATGATTTCAATATAACAATCATGGCAACCCTTGTCACAGCTGTTTTCACATTTATATAATGGCGCCAGATAAGCTTTTCAGTCAGTTTTGTTTACCAACATACAACACTCCTGACCTCTTCGTGTAAAAAAGGTCCTGGTATATCCTGCAAAAGCAATGAAAAAAAGCTTTTCCTGACAACGAACGAGTCCTTCAACAACGTGTTGCATTGTCAACATACCCAACCAAAGTGTGAGGTGGTGTGGCATGGCATGGTGTTACTTACAACATTTCAATCAGCTGTATTTAAAATCAGTAACGGTTTGGAAGTCAATCGCAACAGGTCTTTTGCCCAACAGTTCGGTAATTCAGAAAGTCGCTTCGTCAATGTCTACGTACGTGCGTGTGCCTGAGATTGTGGAAATGCAAACTTCCAAATTTGTTGTCCATTGAACGTTAAATGGAATCATTTAAAGCTACATTAAGAGAACGACGGCTTGTTTGTTTTTTTCCTGGATTCCCGTGCTAGATGTTAACAAAAGTAAAAAAACCTACCCCATTTTTTTGTTGACCTACGACGGTGTAATAGATGGGTGGAGTGAAAGAAGTGTTGAAATATTACATTAGTGGGCTTTAAAGCAAATTTGTATTCCAAAAAAAGATTTCATCTTCATGGACTGCTATTGTTGTTGTTGTCGTTTGTCAAAACAGAAACAGAGATTGTTTGAATATCAACTACTGCTACAACTACGTTTGCTGGTAAATTAATTAAGGAAAAGCTGTAACACATATCTGATGTGTAATATACGTGCATTATCCTGGAGACACATGCTTCTGGTGGATTAATTTAAGGTAAGTTGAAACAATTATGATTTTGGAACAGTAATAATTGTTTTATGTTTACTTTAAATTTGAGGTATAATTGCGTTTATTTCCATGAATTTTCAGAATAATCGTAGATTTTTCAAGGCAACTTTTGAAACGGACTTATATCTTTAAAAATTTAGGATATAATAAAGGCTCTCCTTGAACGTGACCTTGATAGTTATTTCTGATTATTAAACTTAAAAAATGTTTTAAATATCAACCATGGTGGAGTTTTTTGTGTAATGTTTCTGGTAAAGCGTGAATTATTATACCCTCCATCATAAGTTGAAGTGTATATTAAATTTGCCATTCCGAAATATTCCCAAAGACCCCATAAAGTATGTATTCTTAATAAGAATAAGATTCTATTTCGATTTAGTCCATATGTTTAAATCACAATAATACAGAGCTGAAATTTTGAAATTGTGCACATTCATTGCTAATTCTAACATGTTTGTTATTGGAAATGGGTGTACGTTTTGATAACGGTTTCCTCAATTATTCAATATTTTGGTGTTTTCAAGGACGTTGTCCGACGAAATCCAAATAGCAATTAAATGACAATTTAATTTGTCTTTTGGTTTCACATTGTCAAAATTGCTCCCAAATATTAGGTTTTGGTAAAAGAAATCCATTATTTTTTCGGCAGATCGATCAAACAATTTCAGATTTATTTTGCTGTTTTTTGTTTGGTGTATTCAGTTGTGAGTCACATTGTTAGTTACAGTGAGTTACAACTGTGGAACTTGAGAACTACAGCTTCGAGGTAGTCAAAGATTTTATATACCTTGGTACCGCCATAAATAAAACTAATGACATCAGTTTTGAAATTCGGAGAAAGATAGTGTTGGCCAACAGATGCTACTATGGTCTGAGTAGCAACTCAAAAGCAAGGCCACCTCCGAGACCAAACTCACACTCTACAAGACGCTGATACTACCCGTGCTATTATATGGATCTGAAGCATGGGTACTTACACAAGCAGATGAGGCAGCTCATGTAGTGTTTGATAGAAAAATTATCCGAAAGATCTATGGGCCGGTCTGCGTTGACGGTGAATATCACATTGGTATTGTTAGACGTATTGAGCTGCAGCGACTACGTTCGTTAGGTCATGTTGTGAGAATGGATGAAGATGCACCAGCTCAAAAGGCATATAAAAGCGAACCAGCTGATGGTTGATACAGAAGGGGAAGGCCACGAATATGATGGAAAGATCAAGTGGAATACAACATTGCCGAATATGATCTATCAAACTGGAAAAACTGCACAAAAGACCGGTGCACCTGGAAATCTTCTTTATGGAACGAAAGTTCTGTCAGGAGCCAGCTAAGTAAGTAAGTAAGATTCCGGTTAGGAATTTTTGATGTTAAAGATGCACCTGGCACAGTAGGCAGGTCTTCAAAAATGTCGATAAAATCAGAGAAATGATCGAAGTTGACCGGCATGTCAGCAGTCTTAACATCGCCCAGGAGCTAAAAAATCGACCATAAATTTATGTTCTAAACCATTTACAATTGACCAGAAAAGGTCAGAATTGGCCAACAATATAGGCCACACACATCTACTATGACTAGCCAGAAACTTCGAGAGCTTGGATGGAAAGTTTTAATGCATCCGCCATACAGTTAGGACTTGGCACCAAGCGATTATCATTTTTTCTTGCATTGCAAAATGTCTTTAGTTATAAAAAATGTGTATTCTAGGGGGATTGTGAAAATCGACTACTAGAGTATTTTGCAAATAGAGAGCAGGTCTTTTATGAGAGAAGGGGGCATTATGAAGTTACCTTTAAAATGCCGACAAATCATACAACAAAAAATAATGGATTTCTTTTTCCCCAACCTTAAACATTTTCTCTTTTGTTTATTTGCAGTAAAACTTCTTGGCGAAAAATTTTGAAAATAGTTGTTAGTCCGGAGTCGGAGCTTAGAACAAATAACTCGACTAAAATTGATCGGGACCGAATATTAATTTCTTGACTGTGAAGACACTATGTAAAATTTTAAATAAGTAATGATGAGCTCGAGATGGTTTGACTAAGGGAATACATTTTCTGATCCCTTAAGGCTTCAAATACAAATATTACTTCAAAATAATACACGTTCATTGTTCAATTCAATTCAATCCGCGGCGTTTAAGATAGTCACCGTAAAAACGTCATAACAATTTTTTCTAAAATCTAAATTCAAGGCGTGGCGTGGATTTTTTAAATGTGAATATTTTTTAAATAAACATTGTTAAATGTTTTTTATATATACATATGTTTTAAATATACATATTTTATGTTTTTCTTAAATTACCATTAATGCGTCGTGTGTTTAATTATTTATATATATTTTTTTGGTTAAATGTATTTATAATTATGACGGTTATATCCCATTTTCCTAATTATGTATTATCTATATATATAAAAGAGCTTAGTGTTAAGTGAGTGAGTGACTGACTGACAGATCACCGCCCAGACGAAACGGCTAAAGCTAGAAGCTTGAAATTTTGAGTGTGGGTTGTTGTTGGTGTTTAGGCGTGAGATAAGGCTGGGTTTTTGGAGATTCGTACTAGAAGGGTACGAAAAGTACTAAAATGTACGAAATATGGTACCCTTTGTATTAGGCGAACGGGAAGAGCTAGAATTCTGAAATTTGGAATGTGGGTCACTGATGGAAAGTTAGAAAGATGTACAAAAGGGGTTTTTGGAAATTCGACCTATAAGTGTACTAAAAGTACTAAATGTAGTTCTAATTCTACATATATTGAACATATATAGCTAAAATCTTGAAATTTTATATATGAAATTTGGAAGTAAGATTACAGTTGAAATTCGCATTTATATGTACGAAAAGTACTAAACGGAACTAAATTTGGTACAATTTGGATTTGGGTGAATGGAGAGATCTGGAAACCTAAAATTTGGAATAGTGGTTGCTGTTGGTGTATAGAATTGAGATATGGAAGCATAGTACTTATGTGTACTAAATGGTTCTATATTTGGCACAACTTAATTATGTGTGAACGGATAGAGCTGGACTCCAGAATTTTCGAATTAAAAATACTATTGGAGTGTACAAAAAAAAGTACTAACTGGTACCAAATGGTTTACAAATTGTTGAACAATTGTGTGAA